GTAATTATGAAATAAAAAAAGATGAAGATATCCCTTTGATTATAAAACATACTTTAAACCAATTAAATGCAACTATTTTTTTGTCAGAAAACTAAAGCATTTGAATATTTTAATGACAATAATTACATAGAAGTTGTGGTAATTATAATTTAAAGATACAAATATTTTACATAAACGAAATTATGAGTGCTGTCAGCACAGGTCAAAGTAGTATTACGTAATTAACATCAGCGATTTCTTATGCTGAAGTGTACGATGTGTTGCATACCTATTTACAAACAATTCCTTTAAATTTTAATCATTGATTACTATACATCTATTAAAAAACCATAATGGCCGACATCAGTGACAATGCGACAATAATTGAAAAAGAATGATGGCCGACAACAGCAACAATTAAAAAATAATTATGGCCGACACTACGTCATAGTATTGTTCACAAAAATAAATTTCGACCACTCGAAACAATGGTGATAACAGTTTCGAGCTCACAGTGACTGATAGGGGGGAAGAACTAGTATTATAATATAAAAGAAATTATGAGTGCTGTCAGCATATGGCAAAATAGTATTACGTAAATGAAAGATAGTATAAGCAGTTTCTTATGCTGAAGTGTACGATGTGTTGGATACCTGTTTACAAACAATTCCTTTAAATTTTAATCATTGATTACTATACATATATTAAAAAAACATAATGGCCGACATTAGTGACAATGAGACAACAATTGAAAAAGAATGATGGCCGATAACAGCAACAATTAGAAAAAAATGATGGCCGACACTACGTCATAGTATTGTTCACAAAAGTGAATTTCGACCATTTAAAGTAATGGTGCAAACAACTTCGAGCTCACAGTAACTAATAGGGGGGAAGAACTAGTCTATAAAATTTATATATTTTTAAGATAAGACTTCGATTTATTTCTGAATTATTGAAAGCATTTTTGTCCTTTTTAGCACAAAGGCATCGAAATATGGTCTAGACCAATTGTTCCACTTTACCAAAACTATTTTTCTTACGCCATAGTGTTCCTTAACAGACGAACTGACGGTACACCTTCAGACGTCGCTGTTACCCTTAAAGAACTCGGTTTAGTATCCCCAACTGGATACCGAGTTGAAGTAAGTTTTGTATACGCTCTCATCCATATTCACTATTCTTATTTTTGATTAATGTTTTTAGGACCTTTATGAAGATGTCGACTATGGAGTGTTGACACCCCAAACAAAAATTAAAGTCAAAGTGAATCCATCAGGTATGTATAATTTGGTCACTTATAGGTCCATTACTATTATTCTTTCTTAAATTAAGGAATTTAAATCTAATTACGAAAATCTTTAGGGTAAAATCTCAATATTGTTTTTGTTTGTGATTTCGGAGTAATTAAACATATTATTATGGTTCTTGTGGGCATTTTCGGTCATACATATCTGTGGAGGTGCCCAATGCAAAAGTTAAAAAAAAAAAAGTTTGAATATAATTATATTAATTATCCCCAACACAATGTAATTTTTTGTTCGGATTCCCTTTTTGAGGGGTAATTCCTCGAAAATGCGGAAATTAACACGATTTCAATGTACTAAATTTTTTTGACACAATCACCTGTAACAGACAGGGAAACAATTACAAAAGTGATTTGATAAAAATTTCCTGTTTTTCTGAAGTCTAAAAAAATATTTAAAAAGTAATTAAGAACACTCTGTTCGTCGAATTAAGAGAAACACCATTCCATATATTTAAAATATAATACGAAAAAGCAAAGGTAGCTAAATTAATCTCATATTTCAAATTGATTAATTTTTCAGTTTTTTTAATCTAATATACATAGTCTGCAGTTACCTTTCAGTACAGTAGGAACGTATTTTTATTATTACCTCACCTTTACTGTCGTTTTCAGTTTATACACGTTTAAATTAAGTACCTAATAATCTTTTAATGACTAGTTGCTACATATAACAACTTCTTTTGTTGCATAACGAAAATTATTCAATTTGTTAAAAAAATATGAATCGATCAAAAATGTTATTTTTACAATTGCATGTTACCAATTTCTTTATTTTTGTTACTTTGTTTGTTTACTTTTTATTTATTGTATAGGAGTCGTAATTTTAAGAGCAGACGTACAAACAGACTACCCCAAGAAAATATTTTATCCTTCATCAACAACCTTAAGAACCACATATAGGCCCTTAAATCAAGTTTTTCGTGTAAGGGAAAATGGTTTTTCTTTTCCTTAATTAAGCAATTAAGATCGCCGACGTACCATTGCCATAGCCGTTGAATGCTCTAAATAAATAATTTATAACAATTAATTAGTACGTACGTATAAGATTTATTATTATTGTTTTGTACATTTTATATTTTTTTTCAGTTTGGTAATAAACAAATTATTGCTACAACTACAAAACTAGTCGAGAACGTATTCAAAATTTTGCTTCCCAACTGATATCGATACCGTTAAACCTCTTACATTTTTTACCATCCTTCTGCACCTGACCTGTCCCTTAAGCACTTCCCCTGAAATAAAAAAATTATATTTACAATCACAGTATACATAATCGTAATAAACGAACAAAAGTTAAAGAAATATGTAGAGAAAAAATAATGTAACAATTCAGAATGTTGAAGTTGGCAGAGGGTGATATACATGTAAGTAAAATAAATAGATGATTTCAAAATTGGACTCTAATCATATTTTACATCAAATACTAAATCGATCAAAACAATGCTCATATTAATGTGTAATTGAAAATTATTTGAGTGTAAAAAATGAGACTCCATAGAGCAAACTCGCCCAAATCACCCTCTGTAGCAAAGACAATATTAGTAATTTAGTTGATTAATATGTGCAAAAAAACCTCTTGGCCATCAATTTTTAATAAACTTACCTTCAGTAACTTCAATCGGTTCCTTAAGGAAAAAAACAGTTTGTTGCCAGTGTGTCCTGGCACCATGAGGTCCTGTTGTGAAAAAAACCGAATTATCCAGGTCGAAAAAAGTGTCAAAATAGCCAACGAAGGCGGTCAAAGGACCACTCTTGTTCACTTTCAGTTCGAAATCGGAAGTAAAATCAACGGTTGAGGTGTTGCATGTATTCAAATCTATTTCGTTTATTATAACAGAAGAGGTGATGATTTTATCGTGAGGCACGGTTTCAACGTGCGCTTCTCGCACCACGTCCGATTTCATACATTTCATGTTGAAACCGTAGACATTATCCCAAAAATCAATTAAAGATTGTTGTCTTTCTGAAATATTCATTTTCATGATAAGAAAAGAAAACAGCATATTGAATTTAGGAAATTAATTGGCAAAATCTTTACCTTTATCAGAACAACCAACTAAACTGATACTACATCTATTTGGCAAAATAATGCCACCTTCCTTTAAATAACGATTTCTTGCATAAATAAAACTGTCAAGCATTCCTTCAAACAACAAAAAGTAGCCCATCCATTCTGATATTATTATATCAAACTTCTCAATTGGTAATTTTGTGTCTTCTAATCGGCCTCTTATCAATTTGATGTTTTCATGCAATTTATTTTCTCTATAAAATAATTAAATACAACTACATATTTATTCAGTATTACTTAAGAAAACTTTACCACAAAAATTAATTTTTAATTTTAATTAAAAATTAAATACCTTATAATATCCATTGCTTTATATATAATGTCAGATTGATCAATTCCTATTATTTCTTGTGCTCCAGCCTTATTTGCAAACATGGACAAAATTGCTGTTCCACATCCTACATCTAAAACATTTTTTTTCTCGAAAAGATGTTTGTTATTTAATATTGCATCTCTATAGCTTTCAGTCCGTACCTTATCCTACAAGATGTAGAATCCTATAATACCCAATACCTACATATTAAAAGCAATAAATAAAACTTACACTGAGCATTTCATAATGAATACCATAATGTGAATAAGAGCTAAAGTAAGTGTTATCACAACTAAGAGGCACAGAAGCCACATCCACTGGAATAAAATTTTTTTCGCAATCCCCACCCTCTACTATTGTTTTAGTCACTTCTCTCATTTTTGCCATATCTTGCATAGCATTTTTTAAAAGCATATCTTTATGTCTAAGCTAAAAAATACACACAAACTCCACATTTGTTAATCGTATTTCATATTAAATGATTACAAAATACACATTTTACCTGTAATGTTAGTTCATATATTTGCTTTTGAAGGTCAGAAAAATTATTTGCTATTGGAGTTTTTCCATCAATAGCATAGTGTGGTGTTGATGGGGTGCTACCCAAATCGTCAAAATCTAGTAATAAGGCAATATTATTGTATAGTATATATTTTACTAAATTTGATCTTACCATACATCAACCATGACTCCATTTCACCTGGTTTTAAATAAACATCATCATCCCAAAGTGCCATATCAGATCCTATAAGTATCTGGGGAGATGGCTTATGCATTCGAATGTAATTTATCATCTTTATATATGAATAACAATCCATACTAAACTTATTTTTAAGTTCAAGTAAATCAAAATTATGCTCAGTTCGACAATGATCCAAAGCCACTGCTATTGTGTGAAACTGAGAGGGACAAAACAGACAAGTTGTTTGTTCCCCTGACACTTCCATTTCATTCCAACCATCTGAGTCCTCATCTTCAGCATCTACAATGTCCACTAGATCTGGAACTCCTAAGTTTATAGTGAATTTTTAAGAATTGTATGAAACTTCTTTGTTTGGTGATCTACCTACCCTCGTTATCAGTCATTCTTCAAATTTAATACACTCCAAAAGTAGAATTGAGTAAAATGATCATAAAAGAGATTATAACTGAATGTATAAATAATCCACTTATTTATTTCAATAACACATTTTATTTAACAGTAATATTGAAACATATTATTTGTCAAACACTGCTTGTTATTGATTTTATATTTCATCCCTTACATACACAAATCCCTCACAAATCTTCCCTGTAGCATGCTTCTCGCATTCCAAAAATATAGTACCTAATTATTCTTGTTACAATGAAACTAATTCATATTTCTTTAAATTATTGGCAGTTAGTCCAAAAGGCACAAAAAAGTAATAAATCTACAAACGTAGTACTTTTACTCCTTTAAAAGAATTTAAAACTAAATACCGGAACATAAAAGTATTCAACATATACGAAATCTGATACTCTCGACACTATCAGTAACTCAGACGTAACCGTTTGTATATCTATTATCTATGGACGTAACCGTACTTATAAACTTGAAAATGACGTCTAACCTCAAAAAGGTAGTGTGATTTGAATTTGTTTAATACTATGTATANTAAACTTTTAATCCTCAATCTATTAAGGCTGTTTTTTTATAAATAAATTAATCTCTCCTGTATTACACGAGGTGAAACTTTCAAAATTGTTGTAGAGTATTAGTTAAAAGGAGTTTGTAGTTGAAATTACCGGGGTGCGCTTTCAAATTTTAATTTAAAGACATCGCTGTTATTTCTCAATAAATTGATGGGGACACACATATAAAATTGTGGCTAAAATTTACTAATGAATATTTTAAACCCTTTTTCTGAAAACGGAGACTACTGAAAGAAGTATAACTCTTACTGCTGTCTGACGATGAGAATACTCTGCAGTACAGTGGGTTGCATATATGAAGGACTAGCAATTATGAGCAGTGTTTAAAAGAATTGAATTTAAATTATCATAATGCCTTCGCGGGAAATAAAATGAGTGCGCTGTAGTCTAAAACAAATAAAAATGGGAAAAATACGTAAGTAATAACAATATATCATATTTAATATTTTAGTAATATTATTACCCACTTTAGAAAATAAAAATACCGATAAAAAGGCAATTATCAAAGAGAAGCTGAGGCAGAAAAAAAAGAAAGCCAAGAAGAATAATAAACGAGCAAGAATCGTTGTAAAAAACTTGCCTTTTACTACAACCGAAGAATCCTTAAAGCAGCATTTTGGTCAATATGGAAGTATTAAAGAAATTGTACTTTTAAGAAAACCAGACGGTAGTCCTGTAGGATGTGCTTTTATTCAATTTGAATTGGTACAGAAAGCAGCAAAAGCAATTCATTATACAAATGAAAAACCGTTTTTAGAAAGAGAAATTACTGTAGAATGGGCTAAACCAAAAGATAAATATGAAAAAAGTAAGCAGAAAATAGAAGTGAAGATAAAGGAAGAACTACCAGATGATTTTGATCCAAATATACAGATTAAGACAGAAAAGGAAGAACTACTTGAAATAAAAAAAGAAGAAACAGATGAAAATCTTACATTTGAGATTGTTAAAAACACAAATACTTCCTTTGATTATAATCCAGTTAATTCTACCATTAATGAAGAAGAATACAACAATGATGATGATGATGATGATGAAATGAATTCTGAAAATCAAATCAGTAGTAATGCAAATGAAGAAGAAAAGAAAGAAGAAGAAAGTAGTCATGCAAGTAGTGATAGTAGTGAACAGTATGAAGATAGTGATGAGGAAAATGATACGTTAGTGCAGGAGAATGTAAAACAAGAGCAAAAAGCAAAATTTATGTCTAATGATGCATCTGAAGGAAAAACAGTGTTTATAAAAAATGTTCCGTTTCATGCAACTAATGATGATTTAGCCAGATGTATGTCTCAATTTGGACCATTTTTCTATGCTCTAATATGCATAGATCGTTTGACTGAACATTCTAAAGGAACTGCATTTGTTAAATTCAAGGTAAAAAAAAAACTTCAAAAAAAATTTAAGCATAATAGCAACACAATTAACTTTAGGAACTGATATTTTTTAATTACATAAATTACAATTTTACGTATAGACAGATGCAAATCAATCAGTTAAATATAAAAAATTAAATCTGCTATCTACAGTGGCATTATTCACCTTACTAGTTCATGTGGCATATATCTACAATAAAAAAAACATGTCATGCCTTTTTTTTTAATTGCATTTGATATTAATACATGTCTTATAATACTTCATTGGTTATTTCCAGAATAAAGAAGATGCAGAAAAATGTCTTGATGCAAAAGACTTAATATTGCTTGGAAATATTTTGGATTGTCAACCAGCATTGACACGGAACGCATTAGAAGAGAAAGTAAAGGACAAATCAGAAAAAAAGGCGAAACAAAAAGATTCTAGAAACTTATATCTTATTAAAGAAGGAGTTGTCCTTGCTGGATCAAAGGCGGCAGAAGGCGTCTCAGAATCTGACATGGCAAAACGACTTCAACTTGAACAATATAAAACGCAAATGCTTCGAAATCTGAACATGTTTATCGCAAAAACCCGTATCGTTGTACATAATCTTCCATTGAACTGGGATGATCAAAAACTAAGGGCACTATGTGCTCTACACGCAGACCCCAAAGCTGTGATTAGAGAAGCACGAATTATGCGGGATATGAGAAGTGTAGATGCTAATGGGTTTGGAAAATCGAAAGGCTTTGGATTTGTTTCATTTACAACTCATGAAGATGCTTTAAAAGTTCTTCGATCCCTGAATAACAATCCTAACATTTTTTCGCCCAAAAGTCGACCAATTGTCAGTTTCTCAATCGAAAATAGATCAAAACTCTTAGTAAAAGAAAAAAGACAACTCAATTCTAGAATAAAAAATCCGAACAGTACCGATTACAATCAGTTTCCAAGAAGGAAATTAGCAAATGATAAGAAAAATAAATTTAATAATAACAAAAGAAAATCAAATCCTGAAAATGAAGAAATTGAAGGATTTACGGGGATCACATCGAAACCTGGTGATCTAGGATTCAAGAAAATGAGAAGTACATTCCATTTGAAAAAGCAGGCAAAGTTACACCACGAACGTGTTAAACAACAGAAGAAATTAAAGAAAAACGCCAAAAAACCATTGTCAGAAAAAGCTACTGAATTTACAAAACAACCAAAACAAAAAATCAACAAGAAAAAGCTTAAAACAAACGACAACTTTTCAAAATTAGTTAGTGATTATAAGAAAAAGATTCTTAGCAGTTCTAGTTCAGTGGGTGGCAATATTATTAAAAAAACTAAGTGGTTTAATAGTTCTAATTAACCATACTGTAACTGTAATTAATATAATACAGTCTGAGCAGTTGCGCACATTGGGAAAATACTTTCCACTCAGTTTTTTTCCACAGTCACATTCAAGGATTCAGATTGGCTACTGGTAAGGTAAGGTATTACTCGCACAAGAATTATACTGTGTATTTTCTTGTGCGAGTAATACCTTACCNTCGTTGAAGATTAATTGCATAATGTTGCAAAATGAAGATGTTAACAGCAGGCCAATGTCCATATTCCAAGAAAAATGACACGACAGGGTAGAATAAAAAAAAACTTCCTGCTTATAAGATAATCTGCAAAAACGGATAAAAAATGAATTAATTAAGTGTAGTAAGTAAATAAAACGAAATAAAAGTTGTAAATCAACAATGTTCTGTAATGTTTTACTGATTTTTTGCTACTTTATTCTCCCATCGCATTGCAATCCCAAGAGTTTTAATAATGTTCCTGTGAAATAAATTGTTTCTAGTTTCCCTAGTAAACAATTTGATAACTAATGTAAAACAATAATGTTGAGCACTAGAGAAGTTTTTATTACAATGGTACAAACGGAAAAACTTATACATTAGTAAGCCTCGGTAACCAGTATCCATCATCTTATTTTAATGTAAAATTCTAATTAGGGCACATATGCTTACCTTAAATATGTAGAAAATTTTTCCATGTGAAGACGACAAGGGTAAACGAAGTTCAGTAAGAACACATCACCGTACACGATCAATTTGGGGACACTCAGTAATATGCAAGGAAACTTCAGTATGCTTTCAATAACAGGCTAATCTGTAAAACAGAACAAGAGAAAACGCATTAGTTGCAATATTAATGAACAATACATGAAAATTAACGCAATTTTCAGCTAACAAAACCAAGTAAAACTGCAAATTATAAAATGGCGACGTAGCATCAGTTAGCCTTGTGAGCGTGTAAGGGATAGGTTTCCATAATTGTAGGAAATAATAATAAATGATCTTACACGAACACTACAAACTTTAATCTAATTTAACAATTAACTAGCGCGAGAGAATACAGCAGATAAATGGCGGATCAACTAGTAGTAGACTATATCGATTATTTTTGCGTGCCACGTTTCAAGACTCCAGAGTGACTAAAACCATAGACTAATGAAGACTTGACAAGCCCGCGACAACCAACGTCATAGAAGTTAGATGTTCTATGACCACTACACACTACAGCATAGATAATAGATACACAAAGGGTACAGCCTCATTCGTACATGATAATACCCTCGTTCTATCAGGGTACGCAACGAGTGGCGCTATGAATGGAGCTTGTTAAGCGTAGCTTTTGCCTGCTCGGTATCTTTTTGGAGTTACTTAGTAATTTCTAGAAAATATGATGTTTATAGTACCTCACAAAAATTTAACGTTTGTAGCAGCTTACGAAAATTTTAATATCTCGGCAATTATATTCGATAAAAAGATGCCGCTGTCGCTGTTGAAAAGAGCATGAAACGCACTTGGCTTTTCATCTAAAAATTTCTTTTAAAGCACATTAAATTATTACAGTAGTAATGTTCAAATTTTAAATGCTTCAAACATCAATAACTCATTTTTTTCAAACGGAAAGCTATGTTCATTTTGACATCGTCGAATGCAAAATTAAATTCTCTTTCGATTTTATTAATTCATATTAGGGTCTACGCTTGACGGTTTTCAAAATAATTGCGATTTGTTAATTATTCTGTAATGTGCAGAGAAAACGGATAGAAGATCCTAGGCGGCATGGGTCTACAGCCAAAAACACATTCTGTTATGTTTATTCGAATTATTAATAAAATTGTGAATCGAAGTGGATAAAACTTCGATATAAACAATACTAGTTAATATAATTGAACGCATCTATGAAATCAATTATCAATGGATTATAGGTATAGAAGAAGTTTTCATCTATGGGCTTCCGGCTCGTTTCGTTCATTATCTACGATCATCATTGTGTCGATTCTGTCTTCGGTTTTGGAAAGTAAGACTTGTCACCATTTTTGCTGTTCATAAATAGAAAAGACACCTGAAGGTATTTAGCCCTAATACTTATTCAAATTTCATTTGATTGTGTGGAATGCGTTTCAATTTAGCGTTTGATTGGTTTCAATTAGCGTTGCTTCAATTTTTTTTATAGGAATGAGCGTGTTGCCCTCGTCCTCCAGCATAGGTCTTTTTTTTGCCTGTTCACTCATCTAATCTAAATTGTAATATATTCTTAGTTTATTTGAGGCTGAATAATTAGGGTTTTGTTAGAATCTTTAAATTTTGAAAACAGATTTAGAGGATGGTTGTAGATTTTTCATATGGATGTGACCACGCCGCGAAAATTTGCCTTCGTTTTATGGTCANGTAAAAAATTAATCACAACAATTGTAATATATTTCAGTTCAGCGCCATAGAAAAGAAGCTTTTTTAAGAATTCATGACCCCTAGGAAATTTGTTATAAACAGAAAATGAATTTGTAACTGCTTACATGCGAAAAATCGTAAAATTATTAGTTGTAATGTATTTGTTAATAAAACAAGTGGTTTAGCGACATAGAATTTGTTGTAAACAAATTATGAATTTGTAACTGATCGTTTTTATTTCTTGATAAATAAATTTCTCCCTTAATAAACCAACTAAAAATATCTAAATGTATACCTAAAGTGGTGAAGCATCACTGAAAAGAATTTTATAGTTAGAAATTAATATCTCCTTGTACATATAAGTAGCTGAAAGTGTTAAACTTTTAATCCTCAATCTATTAAGGCTGTTTTTTTATAAATAAATTAATCTCTCCTGTATTACACGAGGTGAAAGTATTCAACATATACGAAATCTGATACTCTCGACACTATCAGTAACTCAGACGTAACCGTTTGTATATCTATTATCTATGGACGTAACCGTACTTATAAACTTGAAAATGACGTCTAACCTCAAAAAGGTAGTGTGATTTGAATTTGTTTAATACTATGTATAAATTTAATAACAAATAAAAATGGGAAAAATACGTAAGTAATAACAATATATCATATTTAATATTTTAGTAATATTATTACCCACTTTAGAAAATAAAAATACCGATAAAAAGGCAATTATCAAAGAGAAGCTGAGGCAGAAAAAAAAGAAAGCCAAGAAGAATAATAAACGAGCAAGAATCGTTGTAAAAAACTTGCCTTTTACTACAACCGAAGAATCCTTAAAGCAGCATTTTGGTCAATATGGAAGTATTAAAGAAATTGTACTTTTAAGAAAACCAGACGGTAGTCCTGTAGGATGTGCTTTTATTCAATTTGAATTGGTACAGAAAGCAGCAAAAGCAATTCATTATACAAATGAAAAACCGTTTTTAGAAAGAGAAATTACTGTAGAATGGGCTAAACCAAAAGATAAATATGAAAAAAGTAAGCAGAAAATAGAAGTGAAGATAAAGGAAGAACTACCAGATGATTTTGATCCAAATATACAGATTAAGACAGAAAAGGAAGAACTACTTGAAATAAAAAAAGAAGAAACAGATGAAAATCTTACATTTGAGATTGTTAAAAACACAAATACTTCCTTTGATTATAATCCAGTTAATTCTACCATTAATGAAGAAGAATACAACAATGATGATGATGATGATGATGAAATGAATTCTGAAAATCAAATCAGTAGTAATGCAAATGAAGAAGAAAAGAAAGAAGAAGAAAGTAGTCATGCAAGTAGTGATAGTAGTGAACAGTATGAAGATAGTGATGAGGAAAATGATACGTTAGTGCAGGAGAATGTAAAACAAGAGCAAAAAGCAAAATTTATGTCTAATGATGCATCTGAAGGAAAAACAGTGTTTATAAAAAATGTTCCGTTTCATGCAACTAATGATGATTTAGCCAGATGTATGTCTCAATTTGGACCATTTTTCTATGCTCTAATATGCATAGATCGTTTGACTGAACATTCTAAAGGAACTGCATTTGTTAAATTCAAGGTAAAAAAAAAACTTCAAAAAAAATTTAAGCATAATAGCAACACAATTAACTTTAGGAACTGATATTTTTTAATTACATAAATTACAATTTTACGTATAGACAGATGCAAATCAATCAGTTAAATATAAAAAATTAAATCTGCTATCTACAGTGGCATTATTCACCTTACTAGTTCATGTGGCATATATCTACAATAAAAAAAACATGTCATGCCTTTTTTTTTAATTGCATTTGATATTAATACATGTCTTATAATACTTCATTGGTTATTTCCAGAATAAAGAAGATGCAGAAAAATGTCTTGATGCAAAAGACTTAATATTGCTTGGAAATATTTTGGATTGTCAACCAGCATTGACACGGAACGCATTAGAAGAGAAAGTAAAGGACAAATCAGAAAAAAAGGCGAAACAAAAAGATTCTAGAAACTTATATCTTATTAAAGAAGGAGTTGTCCTTGCTGGATCAAAGGCGGCAGAAGGCGTCTCAGAATCTGACATGGCAAAACGACTTCAACTTGAACAATATAAAACGCAAATGCTTCGAAATCTGAACATGTTTATCGCAAAAACCCGTATCGTTGTACATAATCTTCCATTGAACTGGGATGATCAAAAACTAAGGGCACTATGTGCTCTACACGCAGACCCCAAAGCTGTGATTAGAGAAGCACGAATTATGCGGGATATGAGAAGTGTAGATGCTAATGGGTTTGGAAAATCGAAAGGCTTTGGATTTGTTTCATTTACAACTCATGAAGATGCTTTAAAAGTTCTTCGATCCCTGAATAACAATCCTAACATTTTTTCGCCCAAAAGTCGACCAATTGTCAGTTTCTCAATCGAAAATAGATCAAAACTCTTAGTAAAAGAAAAAAGACAACTCAATTCTAGAATAAAAAATCCGAACAGTACCGATTACAATCAGTTTCCAAGAAGGAAATTAGCAAATGATAAGAAAAATAAATTTAATAATAACAAAAGAAAATCAAATCCTGAAAATGAAGAAATTGAAGGATTTACGGGGATCACATCGAAACCTGGTGATCTAGGATTCAAGAAAATGAGAAGTACATTCCATTTGAAAAAGCAGGCAAAGTTACACCACGAACGTGTTAAACAACAGAAGAAATTAAAGAAAAACGCCAAAAAACCATTGTCAGAAAANCCCATTATACTATTAAATAATA